GGAGGATGGCGTGGGGCTGGGGGCTCGGTGCCGTGCCGTGCCGTGCCGGTGCTGAGCCCGCGGTGCCGTAGGCGCCAGGCGGCCGAGCCGCTCTCCTCGCACGCCCGGATGCTCTTCCATTCCTTGTTGGCGCTGCTGGACAATCATCTGGGCAGCCTGGGGGTGGGCGACGAGGACTTCATGCTGAAGCACAACCTGCGCAAAGCCCGCCGGGACCTCCAGGTGGGCGGCGGGGACGACCCCCCCTGAAGGGTGCCAGGGGGGTCTCTACACCCCTCTGACCCCGTTTTCCCCCAAAATACTCCTCCGCAGGCAGAGTTTGAGGAGTGCCCGGAGAGGTTTGCCAACCTGGTGGACAACCTGCTGCAGGAGGAACGGCGGATCCTGCGCATGGGGCAGGCGGGGGCACAGGTAGGTTGGGGGGGGGTGTGTGTGTCGTCCCCCCCCAACCCCACAACCCCTTCCCCACGGGACCCTCCTGTCGCGGACGGAGTGATGAACTTCACTAGTTAAGAGTGAAGCAGTGAAATATTTATTAAGGTGAAACAGTGATTTAACAAAACCAGTAGTAAGTGTGATAAAACCAGTAGTAAATGCGATAGTGTTTGATGAGATTCGATGTCAGGGTACACTCTGTTATTTACTGCAGAGAGGGCAGGGTCAGACATCTTACCATAAAAAAGACATCGAGGTGCTGGAGCGGGTCCAGAGAAGGGCGACAAAGCTGGTGAGGGGTCTGGAGAATAAGTCTGATGAGGAGAGGCTGAGGGAGCTGGGGGTGTTCAGCCTGGAGAAGAGGAGGCTGAGGGGAGACCTTCTTGCTCTCTCCAACTCCCTGAAAGGAGATTTCTGTGATTCTGTGATCTGTCAGGGAGACCCTCCCGTTGAGTCCCGAGGTTCAGAAAGGACCCCCTGGCTTTCTAAACTCCTTCTCAGAGAGGAGTCTGGGTGCGGCTGGATCCAATCCTAGTCCCAGACTTGGTCAACGGTTTATGTCTAAAGGATTATATCACAGAATCACAGAATCTTCTAGGTTGGAAGGGACCTTCAAGATCATCTTGTCCAACCGTCAACCTCATTTTGACAAAAATAGACACCCCCACAACAAACAAGGAGCATCATCACTAAACCAGACCTCCCAGCACCACATCAACCCGGCTTTTGAACACCTCCAGGGATGGGGCCTCAACCCCCTCCCTGGGCAGCCCATTCCAAGGGCTGAGAACCCTTTCAGGGAAAAAATTGTTCCTAATATCCAGCCTGAACCTCCCCTGGCGCAACTTGAGGCCATTTCCTCTCGTCCTGTCGCCTGTGACTTGAGAAAAGAGACCG